GACAGACAAGTTTGTCCTGCTGTTGGAGACCTCTCATATCACCCCCACCTGGGTCCCTGTGGCTGACTGTTCCTCTGTCTGGCTTCCTGGCTTTTAATCTCCTTTCTCCTGTTCTTCTGGCGTGCTTCTTTGGGCGTCCCTGAGTTGTCTCTCCTCACCTGTATCCCTGGGGTTGGCTGCTCTTCTGTCCTGGTTCAAGGCTTTTATCTCCTTTCTCCTGCTCTTCTGGCCTGCTACTCTGGGCTTCCCTGTGTTGTCTCTCCTCACCTAATCCCTTCGGCTGACTGCTCTTCTGTCCGGGTTCAAGGCTTTTATCCCCTTTCTCCTGCTCTTCCGGCCTGCTACTCTGGGCATCCCTGTGTTGTCTCTCCTCACCTGTAACCCTGGGTCTGTGTCTATAGAATCCTTCAATATCGTAACTTGAGGCTTGAATTTTTTCTTCAGTTCTTTCAGCTTGAGAATCCTTACTGACAAGAATTGAAAAGAATGCTTTTTGCCATATCAATAGCTGCATACCAAGGGCTAAAATGTGTATTGTTCTGTTTTAACAACTCCATCACATTTGGCACATGGGCTGCAACTGAGACTGTTAGGTTGTTATACATCATGATCGAGCAGTGTTTTGCAGACGATACAGGTGAATTGAAGGGGGCCGTATAATGGGCAGCACTCTATATCACTTCAGTTTTGAGGTCAGTGCTAATCCTTGCAATTCCACTATTTTGTCTGGGGCTGGCAATTATCAGGGTCTCTACTTTGCTTTTGCTACCACATAGATTTTATTCCACAGGCCAGTGAACTAATGAGGGTTCTGCCAATTGCTAAGTGTAGCCATCCTAATTATGTACATGGAGACTGGAGAAATGACCACAAGTTGGGTCCATGAAACCAATGGACCCACTATGAGAAACTGTTACAACAGCCTTCTTGGAAGATAGGGAGATGAGTGGAAACAGCCTGGTAGCAGCAACTCATAAGACTCTCATGCACTCATGTTCCAGGAGGATCACAAAGCGCTCTGCCAAGACTTAGATCAGATCAGCTACAGTTAAGCCTTGCCTGCATGGCCTCTGTAGAAACATGCAAAGCTAACAGAGTGTTGTTTTGATTCTCTATGCTGCTATAACAGAAATACCACTAGTAGATGACTTTAACAAACTGGGATTTATTCCCTTACAGTTTAGGAGGCTAGAAGTCTGAGTTCAAAGTGCCAGCTCTAGGGGATGGGAGAGGGCCTTTAACCTTAGGCTTCAGCTCTGCCTCTTTCTTGGTCCTGGCCCACTGGAGCTGGCGGCATCTCTTAACTCAGGCAGCTGCTGGCTACTGGGGCTGACAAACCCAAGGTTGACAAGTAAAATGGCACAGTCCCAAGATTATCAGGCAATGTGGCAGGCCACTAGTTCGAATCCAGAAACAGTTCCAAGATCAGCAGGCCACATGGCAGACTGCTGAAGGGAAGCCTTGGTTAAATGCAGGGTCCAAATGTGCCAAAAAGCTAGAGACCTTGCTCAAAGTTTCTTTTTATACACTGGAAGCAGACTCCATATCTAAGGCAGCTACTCAGCTGCTCACAGGTGATTCCACCATGGAGTTGATTACCAGCCTCATCATGGGGAATAACTACATCCAGCTCCCCAGTCACTCAAAACCAGGCCCAGCCAACTTGACACAACTTTAACCACCTCAAGTGTCATGGCAGAGCCGTCCCCAACAGAACCAGGAATTGGCAGAGGTTTTAAGGCCCAAGAGAGGAATGCTTCTACCAGTAGAACCAATTATGTTTGCATGAATTGGAAGTTGGAAATGCTATGTGGCTACTGGGTAAAAAGTTAAAAAAAAAAAAAAATTTTATATATATATATACATATATATAAAATCAGTGACAAAATATACAAATAACAGTAGCTTTCTATAGTAGGAAAAAGCCAGTAATAAAATACAATGGGAAAAAGATAATTTCACAGTGACAACCAAAAGTAGAAAATTGTTGCTAGGTGCTGTCGAGTTGGCTCTGACTCACAGCAACCCTACCTACAACAGAACCAACCACTGCCCAGTCCTGTGCCAGCCTCACAATCCTTGCTATGCCTGAGCCCATCGTTGCAGCCACTGTGTCAACCCATCTCGTTGAGGGCCTTCTCCTTTTTCACTGACCCTCACGACGCAAATAAATAAACATAAAAAGAAAAAGAAAATACCATGGCTTGGGTTAGGCACACCTTAGTCTTCAAAGAGACATCTTTGTTCTTCAGCAATTTAAAGAAGGCTTTTGCAGCAGATTTGCCCAGTGCAATACTTCCATTGGTATTGATCGTGGAACCAAGGAGTAAAAAGAAATCATTAAGTCCTGCTGTGTGGGGAGGAGATCAGGAGAGGAAAATTTTACTGAAGAGCCTATTGGAAGATTAGATAAACAGAAAGACATAATATGAAGCTTCATGGAAAGATTTATTATTTTCAGTGGTAAATATTACTTCAAGTTAATCATGAAAACAGCTTGACAAGATAATTACAAATTTTAAATTTTAATTACAAATTTATTGTATTTTTGGTGAAAGGATACACAGCAAGACAGGTTCCTATTTAACAATTTCTATACATAGCCCTCGGCAACATTAGTTATATTCTTCAGGGTGTAACATTCACTAGTTGTTTCACTTCCATTAACTTAGTCACACTGCCCACCAACCTTCTCTTCTATGCTGTAGAGTAACTGTTGTCCATTTAGTTCGAAATTTTGTGAAAAATAAATGAGCAGAAATAGCACCAAAAAAAAAAAAGTTTGAAAAAGAAGTGTGCTGTATGATGGTACCAGAATGAACACATTTGTCCTGGAGAGATTGATTACAGCCAGAATGCTCCTTCGAAGTCAGAATGGAGAAACTTCGTCTTACTTACTTTGGAGACATGTCACCAGGAGGGACCAATCACTGGAGAAAGGCAGCATACTTGATAAAGTAGAGAGTCAGCAAAAAAGAGGAAGACTTGCAATGAGAAGTGTTGAGTAGCTGCAACAACTGGCTCAAACATACCTACCGTTGTGCGGATGACGCAGGATCGGGCAAGCTTTTGCTCTGTTGTACATAAGGTTGCCATGAGTCGGAGCTGACTTGATGGCACCTAACATCAACATGATGATGTTTGCCCCAGAACAGGCAAAGCGATCAGTGGGACCACAGGTAAGTCATCCAGTGGCTGCTGGTGGCTCTCATTGGAGCAACAGAAATCAGTGACTATAATGGAGAAATGGGTTCATACTGGTAACCGCTTGCATTTGTTGTTTACTGAATGGCAAAAAGAAGTTTGAAATTCTTCTCAAAGTCGGCCTCTAGTTGAAGTCCCAGCCTGACGGATTCATGGTCCTAAAAAAGCAAAGACAAAACCAACAATGGCTGTTGTCAATAAGCTTCAATTCTCCTGTCCCCGATCACCTGGAGCCTCACACCATACGGTTCTAAATGTTAAGTGAGAATTAATCCAAATGAGAGGACCTTATGTTTCCTGACAGCTTGATGATTTTTTGTGTCTGGAAGTTAGAGAAACAATATATTGCAGTTAATTTCTGATCAAAACTTTACTGATTGCTTTAATTTTTCAACGCAGCACACATTGTAATAATATATTAGTACAGAACTGGCTAAAGCAGATGACCGGTGACTCCTTTTTCCTTCACTCTCCTCCCTCTACTTAATCCTTGTTCATGTTTGGAACTACCACTAGGAAAGCCAGCTGGAAGGAAACGCACAACTTTGAAACTTATGAAATTTAATTTGGTATCTTCCTTTAGAGAAAGGAAGCACTTGAAAGGAGTATTCTACTTTCTGTGCAAGGGAGTAAGTTGGCCACCTACTATTCTCTGTGGGAGGAAATTGACTATTTAGAAGTGAATAAACTCTCTGAACTCCTAGGGGGAATATTTGCAATGGCACTTTCTAGTTTATTAAGGAGCTCTGGTGGCGTAGTCCCTAAAGCATTTGACTGCTAACCAGAAGGTTGGCGGTTAAAATCCACCAGCCACTCCGCGGGAGGAAGACTGGGCAACCTACTTCGGTAAAGATTTACCACCTCGGAAACTCAAAGGGGGTCACTGTGAGTCAGAATCCACTCGATGGCAGTGAGTTTGGTTTTCTTTGGTTTCTTATTATTTTCCTCCATGGATTGGAAGGCTTTTGGTAGACTTCTAGAAGGTTTACTTGTGTGTGCTTGCCACATGATCAGGAAAATGGTATAATTTTTCCAATACAAGAAGATGAAAGGTGAAGGAACTGAACTGAAGGAGAAAGATGTGGAAGCAGGGAAAGGCACTTACCCTGTAATATGTCCTGTCGTTGTGAAAGGTGAGGCGCACGTCTTGCACAAACTCTTCTACTCGGTGGTAATGCTCCTCCTTCAGCCTCTTCTTGATTTTGTCCAACCACGTGGGTTCCCTCTGGCCCTGGCAACTCTGTCTACTCTGTGGACGAAAACACCAGAGGGAGGGCTATTAGCGTAGTTCAAGGTCTCCCTTCCACAGATCCCCACCAGTAAGGCAAAGACAACAGCAGCTTATATCTGTGGGATTCAGATGAAAAATTCCACAAACACCAGGTTCAGGGTTTCTTGTTGTTACTTACATAATATAGTTCTCTATCAAGAAAGAGTCTTTTTGAACAGCAATAGACCTTCACAAGGAGGAACTCACATTTCTGCAAAAGATGAAGGAGGCTTTAAGTGAGAAGTAGCTTGGAGAGAATGAGCCCATAGCCATGCCCAGATGGAACCCATGAGTCAAACCCACCATGCAGCAGGTTGAAACACACGTGTCATGGGGAGGTTCTTTGGGATGGGTGTTAGGCCACTGTGATCTCAGCATTGCCTGAGCTAGCAGGCTGCCTTGGACCCCATTCCTCCAGCCCCGGGCAAGATTCTGTCCCTTCTCTCATGCAAAGAGAACTGAGAAGTTTCCAGTTCACGTTTCCACTCACCAGCTTTTCCTCAGGCAGCATCTGCCTCTTTAGAATCTCAGATTCCTGATGACTCGGTTGGCTTTCCAGGCACCTTGCCTGAACAGCCTTTATCTCGCAGAAGATGCAACTCCATGGATCCCTGAAAGGTCAGGGATAATACGAGCTGAGGGCAGGTTTTCTGTGAAGCAGCCACTGTTCCTATAGCTGCTAATGTCCTCTGTTTAAGAAGCTGGTGAGCTTCTCCTTGTAGCCAACTTGGAGGCCCCTCTACACTAGAGCCCCATGTATGGTCAATAACCTAGACGCCCTTCTGCCATCAATTGTGGTAGCAGAGGTGTCAGTCTTTTGAGGGAGGTGCCATGATGAGTGATGAACTCTCATTGACTTTAAAACCTGGGGTCCCATCTGAACCATGATGAGCTTGATGATAATACTTGCTGACTTGAATTGAGTATTGAAAATTGGACCTTAACCACTGGGGTCTTGGGCCTCAGCAAGCCCAATCAGACCATGATAGCATTCAAGAAACCAGCTTGTTTCTCAACTTCTCTGAATAAGCACAGAGCACAAGCTATAAACATCCTCTCCTCTAGCTTTGCCACAGCTGTGATTAGACTGGGCTGCAGCAACTCCTTGGAAAGGAAACCTACACACAGAGTGTCAGATATCTTCCATTTGCCTCTAGATCCATTCTCCACATTTCTCTCCCAGGCTCTCTGCCCTGGGAAGCTCTTGATGATCAGATGGACACGCTGACCCATCCTGTAGGTGTCAGCCAGCCTCTCTCCCTGGCCACCCCAGTGCTTGCTCAAAATGTCCCTGATGCAGAGATGGGGTTCATCAAAAAGCTGATCTGTCTTCTGCTACTGCAGATAGTCCAGGTGGCCAAAAGGAGAAGTTTATGGGAAACCCTAGTGGTACCCTGCCCTAGGAGTTACCAGGCAGCAGGTGGATCACCTAGACTCCTCCCGTTATGGAGGGCAAAAGCTCTGTCCTCTTAGGGATGGACACACTCCTGGTAGAGAGTGTCCTCCCTGTCCACAGATCTCTGTGGCACCACCACTTACAGAATGCTTTCTCAATCACCACATGGCATCCTGCACTCTGTCACCTCTGACCAATGACATGTTTTACAGCAAAGGAAGTGCAGCAGTGGGCTCACACTCACAGAATTCATGGATCTTACCATAAACCTCAGACCCAGAATCAGCTGTCATGATATGGCCTTCTGAAGGCTCATCACAGTGGTCATGTCAGCTCTGTGATCTTCCCAGGAGATGGTGTCTGCTTTAAACCAGCAGCCAGGGAATAAGGTCGCTGCCCCATCAGAACCAAGTGGGGACAGTGGGGGTGACAGCTCTCAAAATTCCACCTAGTGACCCTCCAAGAGTTTTTGCTTCCCATTCATATTCAGACCACTGACTATCTCGGGTCACCCTTCTGGATCCTGACATTTAAGGACCCTGCTCCCTTGGCATCAAGATATGTACAACCAGGGACAGGAACTCTGAAGAGTGAGTGTGCATGGTGGAAGGAGGGGTCCCTCATAAGGAGGAGAGCGAGCGAGCAGGCTGTGCCTCACTAACCTCTCAGCTTCCACAGGCGGGATGTGACAGTGCTCATGAAAGGATCTTGAACAAGCGTCACAGCAGAACAGGTCTCCTCCATCCCGGCACACCGCACATTCATTTGAGTTTTCCGGCTAGAAAGTGAGATAAAGGAAACATCACTTAGATCTGTGAAACTCCAGAAGGTTGACAGGATGGACATCTAGAACACGTTGCCTATGTATACCAAGGTGGACACTGTAAAACTATCTTCCTAAAATATTAAGTAACAACACCAAGAGGTGACTTCAGAAGAAGAAATTCTGGTCTGTAGGGAAGGTCTGGAGGAAGGGCCTGTGTGTCTGGCCAGAAACGTTTTCTTTATGGAAAGAGAGACTGTAACTCAGAAAAGTTAGTTATGAAAAAGGGTGAAGATTCATGGATAGTCTGAGAAATTGATTACACATTTGGCAAAAGCTGGTCCTCAAGGACAGTGCCTTATCTAGTTGTCTCCGCTGCACTGTCTAAATTGATTTGTGAATGGGTGAATTATTGAGAATTTCAGGTGATGGAACAAACGTCTGAGAAATCACTGCATTCTGCTTCCTTGGCTATTGTCTCCCCTTGAGGTGAAGAAAGGGCCTGGGCAGGAGTTCCTAAACTGGAGGCCCTTATACCTGGGGTGGTGCCTTTGGTGTGGAAGAACCACCAATGGTTTCATTTTTCTCTTTCTCTTCTGGAATTCCAATGACACGTAGCTTATTCTTTTTGATGGTATATCCCACATGAACCGTAGGTCTTCTTCATTTTGTTTTGATCTTTTTTCTGACTGATCCCTTTCCAAAGAAGTATTCAGGTATTTGTCTTCAATCTCATTAATTCTGTCTTCCATTGCATCAATTCTACTCCTTTGCCCTTTCAATGTGTTATCTATTTCTGACAATTTAGTATTAATCTTCTGGATTTCTATCTGTAGATTTAGAATCATTTCTAATTTTTCATTTATTTTGTCATTTTGTTCTTATATTTTCTTCCAAAATTCTTCTAGGGGTTAGTCTGTGCTTTCCTTGGTCTGTCTTTTAATGCTTTGAAGATACTAAAATATAATTCTTTTGAATTCCTTACCAGGGAGTTCCAATGCGTCTTCCTCAGGGATGTGTTTTGTGTCCTGATCCCTTGTTTCTCCTGCTTTATCTTGCATCTTTGTGTGGACTATGATACTCTGTTGTCTCTGAGGCATTATGATGTTTTTGTGTTTATATTTACTTGGTGATTATATGTTGGAGTGACTTGCCCACAATTTTCATTTTCTTTGTTTTGTTTGTATGTTATGTATGCAGTCAGGGTACTGTGCTGTGCTCCTCTATTCACTAGCTGACAGCACTTATACACTCATCACCTGTTTCCTTTCCTTGGTCAGCCTCTCGTATGTCCTTGCCGAACCTGGCAAACAGAGCCTGTTCTTAGGTCCCTGGAATCTGAATGAGAATGGTATCACTTTAAAATCCAAAATGGATGCCACTTGTAAACATTCAAAATAGCTGTGCCCTCAGTCACTTTAAATATCCAAAATGGCTGCTATGTGTAAACAATCAACATGGCTGAGCCCTCTGGACAGCAGAAAGTCCACAGCTCAGGTTGTCTCCCTCCTTGCTGTTTCTCTTCCTAGTCGTAGGCCACCAGAGCAGTTGTTCCTGCAGCCCTTGGTGACCAGGATTGATCTTCAGGTCAATTCTTAGGTTCCACCGCCACTTGGAAATATTCAGGCTGTTGGTCTCATCAGAGTAGCTGATAGTCCACAGCTCTGACCGTCTCTGTACTCACTGTTTTTGTTCAGGTTTTTCCACTAGTTGGTGCCTAACCCACTTCGGTATAGTTCCTTTCAAAGCTCAGGGTTCCAGGATTATCTCCTGTATCTCCATCAATTGGTTTTTCTTTTCTTTGTTGAAGAGGGTCTGTGTCACTTGTCTGCCTATTCCTCCGTCTTACCGGAAGTCCTTCCTAGTCTTTTTAGCATGAAATCTGTCCTTTTGTTTAGCAGTCGTTCTCAACCCATTGCACAGTGGAATCACCTGGGGAGGTTTTAAAGTATCCTGATGCCCAGGACCCAACCACCAGGATTTTGATTCAATTCATCCAGGTTGGGGCATAAACCAAACCAAATCTGTTGCCTCTGAGTCCATTCCAACTCACAGCAAGTCTGTTTGGTGCAGGGTAGGACTGATCCATATGGTTTCTTGGCTGTTATCTTTATGGAAGTAGATCACCAGGCCTTACTTCTGCACTGCTGCTGGGTGGGTTTGAACAGATAACCTTTAGATTAGCCCTTGAGTGCAAACCCTTGCACCTCCCAGGGACCCTGGCTTGGGGCGTAGGTACTCATATTTTTAAAAATTCCAGATGATTCTAATGTGAGTCACTAGTGAAGGCTCTGCTTGAAGGTCTAAGGCACTGATTCTCAAAGAGTAGCCCAAACCAGCTGCATCAGCATTGCCTGGAACTTGTTAATGCAAATCCCTGAACCCTACCCCACGTTGCCTGAATCAGAAGCCCAGGGGTTGGGATCCAGTCACTGGTGGTACAGCAAGCTCTCCAGGTAAATACGATGGACAGATTTACAGTGTAGATGGCCCTGGTTTACCCAAACCCAACCCACTGCCTCAAGTCAGTTCTGACTCATAGTGACCCTATAGGACAGGGTAGAACTGCCCCACAGGGTTCCCAAGGCTGTAAGTCTTTGTGGAAGCAGACTGCCTCATCTTTCTCCTGTGGGGCAGCTGGTGGGTTTGAACGTTCAATCTTTTGGTTAAAGCCAAGCACTTTACCAGTGCACCAGCAGGACTCCTTCCCTGGTCTACAGGGTGCTCAATCTGGCTGCACCATCAGGGGAGCTCTGGAAAATCTCAATCCTTAGACCACTGAACTCAGAACCCCTGGGGCTGGGACCCCCAGCTGGTGCTCACGTGCAGCCAAGGCTAGGAGCCCCAGGTTGGAGGAGATGTCTCCTGGGCAAGGGCTGGCGAGTTCCGTGCAGATCTCACCAGCAGCCTACAATGTCTGCCATATGCTGGCTGTAAAATGGGGCGAGGACAGCCTGCCTGGAGCGGTGGCCTCGTCATCTTCACAGAGGGCTTGGCTGTGGCTGTGAGAAATGACCCTCTATGTCCACCTCAGTCCTCATGTGCGTTACACCAACCCAGAGATGAGAGCTGCTAGCCTTCTGAAGGGTCCCACTGGATGGCATCTAGGTCTCGCATGGGCAGAGCATTTGCTGGAAAACCAAAGGCTTGCCGATCCCCCTCTCTGCCGAGGCCTGTGTCAGTGCAGCAGCCCCCCATTCTCTCATGAGAGGCCCCCCTGGAGGTGCACAAAGGGGACCCTGAATCGAACGTCCACCTCACTGAACCAAAGAGTCAAAGTGTAATTCAGCTGAGAGAGGGGAATGTCCATGACATCATGGACTCGAAAGCAGGCCGCCTCATGGTGAGCAGAGAATGGACGGGAGGTAGGGTCAGAATGAATGGGGCACGTGGGGTCACTGGGACAGGAAGTGTGGGGCATGGGGACTTGGCAAGCAGAGAAGGGACAGGTCACGTGAAGTCAGAATGGGTGGGGCACGGAAGGTCAGAGTGGACGGGGCCTGTGGGGTCGGCACGGTTTGCACATCACCAGGTGGCAGTGAAGCCCTCTGGGTACAATGGCTGAGAGTTGCTGATGCTGATGCTTTCTGTCCAAGCAGCTCAGCCCCCGGATGCTCTTGAGATCAGCTCCCACCGCCCCGTAATGACTCACTCCCCTGCACGTACCTGTCTGCAGGCTCCTACAGGACTCCCACCTTGGACTTGCCAGCTTGGCCTGGCCTGTTCTTCCGGCCGATGCTTGTGGCCGCTTCGAGCTCCGCCTGTACCCGGTGTGTTTAGGGCTTTCCCTCCCAAGCTGCCCTCTTACGAATGCTGCTGTTCTCTCTAATTTTCTCCTTCCCTGCCCACTGCTACTTCAGCCTCTGCCTCCAGAGACCCCAACGGTCTAGGGCTCTGACTCCCATACCCACTTGGAGGGCAAATGAGGACATGGGGAGATTCCCTCGGAAACAAATGGGAGAGACCCCAACCCAGAAGGATCTATGTGGTGGGGGGTGCAGGTGATGTTCTTTGCTCACCACACATAGCAACGTACCCTGAATGGAGTCAGCATGTTTCAAGACAAAGCAGTAATGGCACAATGTACCCAGGGGATCCCCGGATTGTTCTGGGTGGGGCTGGAGTTATACTTACATAAGGGTCAATGACGTCCTTGGGGGAGTCCAGTCTTCTCTGTTGAAAGGAGAGAAAGACCGAGTGACAATATTGAGTGTGATTTTCACATTAACTACATATCTGAGCAGGCTTCTTTGTTCAAGGGCTCCATGCCATGGCCCTCCTTTGTTTCCTACCTGCGTTTAAGGCCTGTACATGGATCTAGAGGATAAGAAGCACTAAATTATGTGTGTGTTTGGTGGGACCAAAGGGCCTGTCCTGAAAGGAAGTTTTTCCAGGTCAGCAGCCTCTCGCTGAGGGTATACCTGCCCCATCCCTCTATTCCCTAAAGAGTCATCTCCTTAAAGGGGAAGAAATTTCCCCTGAAAAACATTCATGTGTGAGTGTGGGTATGAGTGTGAGCGTGGGTATGAGTGTGAGTGTGTATGTATGTGTGTGTGAGAGTGTGTGTATGTGCGTGTGAGTGTGTGTGTGCAGTGGGAAGGAGAGGAAAGACACACAAGGGAGAGAATGTGCTTTTTGTCACTTGCTTCACCAGATGACATATGGCTACACATGCATCCCAAGTGACCGTGGGACATTTCCTGGGAGACCTTTGCTGCACTCTTGTTTTATTAAAGCTAGAAGGTGGTGTTCACGTTGAAGTTGCTATGGCGACAGTCCTTACAGATACTGCACGTTTCAAAACCACGCCTGCTTCTCCCGCTCAGCACCGTTTTCAATGCTCAGCTGCAAGGTGGGGTGGCATCCAGGTCTTTTCCTAAAGCACATGCCCAAGGTCAGCTCGGCTTAGGATCTATTTTTAAGGGTTGTTCCCACCTCTGACTCAACATTTGTTCACTCAGAGCGCTCCTGGCCTTGTATCCATAAAGCGCTCCGATGCAGCAGCTGTGAAAGCCCCTCATTACAAAGTGGAGATGTGTTCTAACTTGTCGATTTATCATCAGGCTACAGATACAGAAAATCAGCAAGATGGCAAATGAGGTGTGGTGGACGGTCCTGTGATAATCACCCTTTGTCTTGTTCGTGGCGGGACTGGTAGAGATCCATTCTGGAAGAAAAAAGACATGCATGCTATGCTGAGTGTTTGCTTCTACTGAGAGTGGTGCTCCCAGCAGCCACTCTACAGAAGGAAGATGGGGCAATCTACTTCCGTAATGATTTACGGCCTCAGAAACCCCAAGGGCGTCTCTATGAGTCAGAATGGACTCCATGGCATTGAGTTTGGTTTTGGTTTTTATTTTTGGATGTCCTGCTGTCAACTCGCACTTAAGCTGTTTGCATGGAAAGCAACCTCCCTCTCCACATCTGTGACCTGCTACCTCTGTTCTCCACACTCAGCTCTCAGAACTGTCTCGTGTTCCTTACCAGATCTTGCCAGGCTTTCCTTCGCAAACTTTTCCATACTCATCACTTCCTTTCTATTCCCTGACTACTGCTCTAGCATGTGTCCTTAGAACCTTCTCTACCAGGGTTTCCACCGGCTAGGACTGTTCCACCGGCTGGAGCTTATATATACCAGGCCTAGTCCGTGGGCATGCACCCCATCAGTGGGTGAGTGGCAGGTGTCAGACACCGTCAGTGGCCTTGGGCACACAAAGGTGTCCAGGTTCTTGGGGAGAAAGGTGAGACTAGCAGGCACGTGATGGATTAGGCTGATTAAGTGTGAACCGTGCTCCCATAGAGTGCTTTGGGAGCCAGAGATGGGTGAGTTTTTGAGGACTTCAGGATGAAGATAACATTTGAGCCAGGCCTTGCAGCTAGAGTGGGGATGGATCGGGCAGAAAAGTGGGGAAGGCCATTTCCGGTTGTCTGCGTGCAGGCACCTAACCTCCAATGTGTGTCCTAAGATCACAAAAACCTTTCTAAAGCACTGTTTGCACAACCCTGTTCTAACCTCCAGCAAGGTTCTTCACACTGTAGTTCGTCCGACTACAGGAAGGGTTCAGACTCTTTGTCTGCCCTCAAGACCTCATCAGCCACCCAGCCTATGCAGCAAGCCTCATTCCCCGCAACCAGTTGACAAACTGTGGGTGGGTGTCATGCCATCCATTTTATGTAGAATGCCCTGTTTCCATGTTCTTGCCCATCAGAACTGGTCTTCTTTTAAGACCTGGCTCAGTGTAAACTATTCCATGTAACTGCCCTCAACCTCAAAGCCAGACACAGCCTTTCCCTCCCCTGAGCCGCTGTGTCTTTCCTGATGGTGCCTCTTTCATCCCTGATATGTGGGCCTGTCCTGTGGCTACGAACGTGCAGGCTCCTTCTCAGAGGAGTGGCATGCAGGGACAGGGCTTACACCTTGCACAACTTTGTGGCTTTAAATGCAGCCCAATAAATATTTGCTGAGCAAAGAGCTAATGTTTTACTGATAGAGTGGCCCAAGGAAGGCCCTCGGAGTGTGACGGAAAGAGCACTGGACTGGAAATCAGAGGAAAAAGTATCATCTACTGAGACCACGGTCCCCGCTCTGTCCACATCTGGGGCTTAAGATGACGCCCAAAGGAGGTGTTTTAAAATGCAGTCGATTTATGTTTTCTTTCAAGAATGAATCTGAGGTGGCTTCTCCAAAGAAGGAGGTCTTGGGTGGTGCAGGGAATCACGTGTTTGGCTGCTAATGGAAAGGTGGGGGGTTCGAGTCCACCCAGAGGCACTTCAGAAGAAGAGCTTGGCTTTTCTTTTTCTCAGTTGATTAGCGGCAGAGTCAAGACCACAATTTATTGTCCTGTTCTCAAAAGGCTGAGAGTTCAACGCACATAGGAAATTCGTGTACAAAACAAGCCTGCCATGAGAATGCCACATGGAACGTCAGTAACAAAGCAGGAGTCACTGGGTGGTGCGAATGGTTAACACGCTCAGCTACTGACCCAAAGGTTGGAAGTTCAATTCCATTCAGAAGCGCCTTTGAAAAAAGGCCTGGCAACAAACAGCTGAAAAGTCAGCCACCGAAAACGCCCCGGAGCACAGTTCTACTTTGCAGCTCATGGGTCGCCATGAGTGGGAGTGGACTCAGTGGCAGCTGGGGGGTGACCTAAGGAAGGGGGTCAGGCGTGGGTGAGTGGTGACAGCCAAGCCCTCGCTTGACGCCTCTTGTTGTAGGGGTACCTTCATCAGGCGCTGCAGGGGCCATCCGCCGCAGCGCACGCTCAACTTCCAGTTCTTCCATCTCTCGCGTCCGCCTTCAATCTCGAATTCCCTGCCGGTGAACCACTTTCCGTCTTCAGTCTGTATGCACTTCTCTGAGGTCCCTGCAAGGCCAAGACAAGCTGAGTCCCTTGGGCCCAAGGGCGGGGCTCCAACGGCCTCTCCCTACACTGGACCCGGAGCTGCCCAACGCGAGCTCAGGGTCAGAGGCAGGAGTCTCCATGAGTGCAGTTCCACTCTGACCCACAAGGGATCTCCAGGAGCAGGGGCGCCACCCGGAGGGCTGGTGTGGTAAAGAGTGAGCGGGATTCTTTCCTCTCCCTTCTCTGAGACCAGACTAGAGTCAGGCTGAGGTTCAGGGGAGCAGATAAGGCGCACAGCCCTCGTGTTCCCAGGTGGGTATGGAGGCCCTCACCACATCCACATCTGCATCCTCTGTGCCACATTTTCCATCCAGCTAATGGGACCCAAACTCACTGAAACTCACTGCCATCCAGTCAATTTGACTCCTAGCGACCCCTCCTTGGGTTTCTGAGGCAGTATCACTACGGAAGTAGATCGCCCAATCTTCCTTCTGAGGGGTGGCTGGTGGGTTTGAACCGTCAGCCTTCTGGTTAGCAGTCAAGTGCCTTAGGCACTATACCACCAGAACTCCCAATGGGAACCAAGCCATCCTCATATTTTGAACTCAAGGATATTTTATGTGAAAAGTAATCATGGAAATGTGATGCAGTGGAAAACATTGAATTACATATATACTATATAGGCATAAGGTGTTCTGGTGGTGTAGTGGTAAGACATTTGGCTGCTAACCGGAGGTCGATGGTTGAAATCCACCAGTTGCTCAGTGGGAGGAAGCTGAGGTAATCTACTTCTGTGAAGATTTACAGCCTTGGAAATCCAGTGGGGGTTGCTATGAGTCAGAATCTACTTGATGGCAGTGTGTCTATAGTAATAGGGCAAACGTTTATACCTGTTGGTACCAAAGAATTGTGCTTTGGGAGGGGCCCAGTCATGACAGACAAACATTTCTACTGGGCTTTAGCAATGGTAGTTTACAAAGTATTTTGTTGTTGTTGTTGTTATGTGCTGTCGAGTCAGACCTGACTCATAGCGACCCCTCCTTGGGTTTCCACATCTATCTATCTCATTTTTTCTCATAACGATAGGGGGAGGCCGGTTTTATTATCATTTCCATTTGGTGGAAGAGGAAGTTCGGGGTCAGAAGGACCAAGAAGCTTGCCCCAGATGACACAGACACTCCTGCTGGAGCTGAAACCTGAGTCGGGTCTTCTGAGTTTAAAGCCTAGGCCCTTTCGCTTAGCACGAGTCTGTAGAGATGCCATGGGGGCTGAAGGCTGTTGTTGAATTTCTTGGACATGCACATCTTCCAGCAACATGTTGAAATGTTGGCCCTTGCACTGGGTCTGTTCGGGCACCTCCGAGTACCCATGGTAACAAGTTCCCTGAATGTCCCTGTGGATCATTTTCAGTGTGGGGAGGCAGAATGGCCTGCTGGGCTAATGTTTCATGGATTTGGAAGGTGTGAATGTACTACCGTTCCTTCTCCAGCCGTCCTGGGATGCTGTGCAGAAATGAGTTAACAGATGGTGTATAAATTTGAGAAGCAGTTGAGTTAACTGGTCTTCCTTGGTGGATTTAGAGGGTGGTAAAATGTAATGTAATGTAATAGGAGCTATGGTGGTGTAGTGCCTAAGGCATCTGACTGCTAAACAGAAGGCTGGGGTTCAAACCCACCAGCCACTCCTCGGAAGGAAGGTTGGGCCATCTACTTCCACAGAGTTACTGCCTCAGAAACCCAAGGAGGGGTTGCCATGAGTTAGATCCGATGGTGAGTGAAATGCAACGAGGATGAAGAATTAATGCTCCTGGAAGAAGCTCTTGTCTCACAGCAATGCAGCATTGGTGGGTAAGTCCCAGCTTCCTCGCTCTCAGTTAGGCTAACTCTGCAAACAGGTTCTACGTCATTTCCCAGAGCTCCCTGGGAGCTTGGTAATGTTCACGGCATTGCCTTCATTGCCTTCCCTCTTTCACTCACTCTCTCTCCTATTGGTGTCTCCTGGAATTCCTTCCCAAATAAACTGTGTGCACTTGGGGGTGGTGGTGGCAGTAAACTAACAAAAACAGGTTGGAGACTACTGTCCTTTGAAAGGTCTGCTTGCAAGGTTGGCCCTTGGCCGACATCTGGGAACTTGGATTTTAGGTGGGGTCCCACCAGCCTCAGAATTGACAAGAATGTGGACTGTGCCCAAAGTGTGCGTACAAATAATATGGTTTATGAGGAATACCTGCTTTCATTCTGGAAGTCTGGAATTATGAGATGAGCTGGGTAGAGTGGCCATGAATCGTCTCCAAGGGAACCAACAACAACAGGTAGAGGGTGCCTCTATGTGATTAACGGCTGATGAGAACCCTGGACTCCTAGGTTCAGGCCACCTTGCCTAGCAGACAGCATTTCACACGTGTTGCCACAATTTGTTGCTGGAGGAGTTTAGCACAGCCCGTCTGCCTCCACAGAGCGCTGGTGGCACAGTAGTTAAGGCATTTGGATACTGACCAAAAGGTCGGTAGTTTGAACTCACCAGCTACTCCATACGAGAAAGATGAGGCAGTCTGCTTTTGTAAAGATTTACAGCCTTGAAAACCCTATGGGGGCATGTGTTAGATTGGGTTCTCTAGAGAAACACAAAAACCAACAAAGCATATATATATATATATATATATATAGAGAGAGAGAGAGAGAGAGAGAGAGAGAGAAATTTATCTTAGGAAAATGGCTCACAAAC